ATGACGCGGATGACCTGGCAATACTTCTTCATGCTGCTGAAGTCCTTATCCAGCTGCTTCTTGCCCTCGTCATCCTGCCACTTCTTGCAGTACTTGGTGAAAGCCTTCTTCTTCGACTTGTGCCTTCAGGAGCAGAGCAGAGTTGGGGCAGGGGCCCGGTGCAGGCCTTCATCACCCAAAGGGGTGAGCGGAAGGCACACTGGCACCAGGAGGGGAGGGGGCTCATTGCCAGCTTTCCCACTGGCAAGCGGAGCCTGGATGGAGCTCATCGGGCCAGGCCGAGCGGAGCTGAGCAGAGGCACACAGGTTAATGAAGGTATAGCTTCCAACACACCCCAAAACTCAGCCACTAAGGGGAGCTCCCGTGCAGCACAGGAGTGAACATTCCATTCAATCTTCCCCCCACCCGGGGCCTTGCTGGGGTACAGCTGCCAGCTCCAGCAACTCCCTGCCCAATTCTCCCAGCCACCCCAAAGTGAGTGTCTGCCTGGACCCAAACCAGCCCAAGAACCAATTGGGTCCTCCATCTTCTCCTGCCCTCCTGAAGGAGCCCACCAAAGCCTCCTGGGGGGCCCTGGCCCCTTCCCTGTACCGAGGTCCCCTTTACCAGTTCTTGTAGAAGCGCCGCTTGCACTCGTCACTGATGTGTTCAGCAAAGACCGTCTTGAAGGTCCGGAGGCCGCGCGGTGTCTCCACATAGCCCACGATGCCCACCACCACCATGGGGGGGGTCTCCACGATGGTCACCGCCTCCACCACTTCCTTCTTGTTCACCTCTGCAGGAGACAGGCTGTCAGGCTCGGCCACGTCCTCCGCCTCAGCGGGGCAGTGTCCAGACTACCAAGAGCAACTGCTTAATCCACGTGGAGCAGGAGGGCGGCTGGGTCAAAGCAGGCTAGTCTGTAGAAGAGGACCCACGAGACCTGTCCCCACTGGACTGGCCACCCGTGCAGTCTGCAGAGCTGTGCAAGTTTCTAAGCCAGAGCAAAGAGTACCCACCCACTTCACATCGCCCTGTGCCTGTGACCAGTGGTTCTCAACCCTCCTAATGCCACCCCCTTTTAATACAGTTCCTCAT